CTTTGGGGTCATCTGGAGCCATTTGGGGTCACTTTGGGGACACTTGGGGTCATCTGGAGCCATTTGAGGCCAATTTGGGGTCACCCGGAGCCATTTGGGGTCTTTGGGGTCACTTTGGGCCAATCTGGAGCCATTTGGGGTCACTTTAGGGTCATCTGGAGCCATTTGGGGCCAATTTGGGGTCACTTTGGGGTCATCTGGAGCCATTTGGGGTCTTTGGGGTCATCTGGAGCCATTTGGGGCCAATTTGGGGCCAATTTGGGGTCAATTTGGGGTCACTTTGGGGTCACCTGTAGCCATTTGGGGTCTTTGGGATCACTTTGGGCCAATCTGGAGCCATTTGGGGTCACTTTAGGGTCATCTGGAGCCATTTGGGGCCAATTTGGGGTCACCCGGAGCCATTTGGGGTCTTTGGGGTCAATTTGGGGTCATCTGGAGGCATTTGGGGCCAATTTGGGGTCACTTTGGGCCAATCTGAACCCATTTTAGGCCAATTTAGGGTCACCATGGGCAAATCGAGTCATTTGGGATCACTTTGGGCCAATTTAGGGTCAATTAAGGCCAATTTGGGGACACTTTGGGCCAATTTGGGGTCATTTTGAGCCACTTATTGCCAATTTAGGGTCACTTTGGGCCCATTTAGGGTCATTTTGAGCCACTTTGTCCCAATTTAGGGTCACTTTGGGCCTATTTAGGGTCATTTTGAGCCAACCTGGAGTCATTTGGGGCCAATTTGGACCAATTTAGGGTCACTTTGGGCCAATCTGGAGCCACTTTGTGCCAATTTGGGGTCACTTTGGGCCATTTTGGGGTCATTTTGAGCCACTTTGGGCCAATTTAGGGTCATTTTGGGCCTATTTAGGGTCATTTTGAGCCAACCTGGAGTCATTTAGGGTCAATTTGGGCCAATTTAGGGTCACTTTGGGCCAATCTGGAGTCATTTGGGGCCACTTTGGGCCAATTTAGGGTCACTTTGGGCCCATTTAGGGTCATTTTGAGCCAACCTGGAGTCATTTGGGGCCACTTTGTGCCAATTTAGGGTCACTTTGGGCCATTTTGGGGTCATTTTGAGCCACTTTGGGCCAATTTAGGGTCACTTTGGGCCTATTTAGGGTCATTTTGAGCCAACCTGGAGGCATTTAGGGTCAATTTGAGCCAATTTAGGGTCACTTTGGGCCAATCTGGAGCCACTTTGTGCCAATTTGGGGTCACTTTGGGCCCATTTAGGGTCACTTTGAGTCACTTTGGGCCAATTTAGGGTCATTTTGGGCCAATCTGGAGTCATTTAGGGTCAATTTGGGCCAATCTGGAGCCACTTTGTGCCAATTTGGGGTCACCTTGGGCCATTTTGGGGTCATTTTGAGCCACTTTGTGCCAATTTGGGACCACTTTGGGCCAATTTAGGGTCACTTTGGGCCAATCTGGAGCCACTTTGTGCCAATTTGGGGTCACTTTGGGCCCATTTAGGGTCACTTTGAGTCACTTTGTGCCCATTTAGGGTCATTTTGGGCCAACCTGGAGTCATTTGGGGCCACTTTGGGCCAATTTAGGGTCACTTTGGGCCAATCTGGAGCCACTTTGTGCCAATTTGGGGTTATTTTGGGCCCATTTAGGGTCATTTTGAGCCACATTGTGTCAATTTAGGGTCATTTTGGGCCTATTTAGGGTCACTTTGTGCCAACCAGGAGTCATTTGGGGCCCATTTAGGGTCATTTTGGGCCAACCAGGAGCCACTGGGGACCAATTCAGGACCATTTTGTGCCAATTTGGGACATTTTGTATCAATTCAGGGCCGTTTTGTGCCAATTCTGGACCATTTTCTGCCAATTTGGGACCATTTTGTGCCAATTCGGAACCGTTTTGTGCCAATTTGGGACCATTTTGTGCCAATTTGAGACCATTTTGTGCCAATTCTGGACCGTTTTGAGCCAATTCGGGACCATTTTGTGCCAATTTAGGGTCATTTTGTGCCGATTTGGGACCATTTTGTGCCGATTTGGGACCGTTTTGTGCTGATTTGGGACCGTTTTGTGCCAATATGGACAGTTTAGTGCCAATTCAGGACTGTTTATTGCCAATTCGGGACCATTTTGTGGCAATTTAGGGTCATTTTGAGCCAATTTGGGACCATTTTGTGCCGATTTGTGCCCATTTTGTGCCAATTCTGGACCATTTTGTGCCAATTTAGGGTCATTTTTTGCCGATTTGGGACATTTAGTGCCAATTTAGGGACATTCTGTGTCAATTCAGGGCCGCTTTGTGCCAATTTGGGACCATTTTGTGCCGATTGGGACATCTAGTGCCAATTTAGGGTCATTTTGTGCCAATTCTGGACCATTTTGTGCCAATTCTGGACCGTTTTGTTCCAATTTGGGACCGTTTTGTGCCAATTTGTGCCCATTTTGTGCCAATTCGGGGCCGTTTTGTGCCAATTCTGGACCATTTCGTGCCGATTCGGGGCCGTTTTGTTTCTCACCTTGAGGTTCTTCCACCAGTACTTGCGTTTGAGCTTGGCAGCACTGGTCTCAAACTGGGAAGCGCCGGCCTGCAGCGCGTCGGCGCGGTCGTCCAACTCCGAAAGCTTCTGGTCACGTTCCAAAACTTTGTCCACGTTCACCCTCATGATATCCACAACCTTGGGGGGGGGGAATTTTG